TCCCAGACATACTTCACCATCTTCATTATGAGGAATTTTGAAATTGTTTGAAAACACACTGTTCATTAAGAAGAAGCAGAGTGACATTGTGTGAGAGTTAGAGGTAAGGCCTTGAGAGCCTTGGCGGAGACACTAGTCCTTCCTAGCACAGTACAGGGGTTGAGTGAATACAGGAACTCGGTCCTCAAATACGAATATGTTTTATGAAAACTAATGTGACCAGCACCTGACACACCATGGCGGCTGTAGGAGGTCCTCTATCATTGTAATTCGCCGTGTTGTCGTGCGCGTGACTCAACAACAGAGTGTGTGTGTGTTAAAGAAACTAACTTCTATAAAGGGATTTGTACCTTAATCGTAAGAGACTCGAAGTGGTATTTTCGTATTACCTGATAATTAAACCCACTCAGCTTATTTCACCTGATAATTAAACCCACTCAGCTTATTTCACCTGATAATTAAACCCACTCAGCTTATTTCACCTGATAATTAAACCCACTCAGCTTATTTCACCTGAAAATTAAACCCACTTGATCATTAAACCCATAGCTTATTTCATCTGATAATTAAACCTACTCAACTTATTTCACCTGATGATTAAATACCTTAATTTTCCCTTGGGAGGGGATTAGATTAAGCTGGATTGGGTTAAGTTTAATCATCGGGTGATATAGACCGACCTAACACCACCCGTTATGCTGTATGTTATAACAAATTATTTAAGATAAGCTCTGAAACTCTTAATGGGAGGAGGTCTGGGAGTCTTCTCCAGATAAGAGTCTGAGCAACACTTGGAGGCTGCCCTTAGTTTAGTTGGCCACTTACCTGTTCAGTGGTTATAATCTCTCTCTCACCTAGGTGATGTGACCTCCTGTTGTCTGTCTTCCCCGGAAGCGTTACTTCCTCCTCAGCTTCTCTCACCCAGTAAGTGTCACCTCGAGAGGAGAGCTGTTAGCCAACCGTCAGTCAGTGTTTAGATACGCTCGAGTGTTGTGCTGACATGGCCACTTCTGAGAAGGAACTGGTTAAGTAAACAGTTCATGACAAATGTTGCGTGTACCAATATTATATTGGGGTGAATTACATACAATACTAGGGTGCTGATATCCCCCCACCCCTCCACCAGGTAGGGTTAGTATTTAATCATCGGTGAGCATGACGCGAGACCGTAGGTAACAACAGGCGGGAACAGCTTCATAGTGTTCAGTGTGCACGTTTAGTTTTCTTAATCTTTAAACGTATTTTGTCCGTCTTCTCGAGTCTTTGGTAGAAATTACCTCACGGTCTGACAGCTAGGGGGTAGCTTACGTGAAAAGTTGGATTATAATTCGTCTTATCTCGCTTCAAATTCAATGGATCATATTGATATTGGCTTTGATATACAGTATGTTAGATGTTACTTATACATTTAATCACCAGTAATTTCGTGAAGGATGGACAAGTGTACAGGTTCATCTGTTTATGAGAAAGCGTACTGCTGGGCCTCTAATACTGCCAAGTGTCACTGTGTGTAGGAGGGAGATCATTGGTCAAGATGACGATGGCGTGATGGGGACAGCTGGTGTGGGACATGCCAGGGTGTCGGGTAGGGGAGTCGACAGAGTTTACGTGTAGTGCGGCCAGAGGCTCCGGGTTGTCGATGTACTCCCAGTTGTACCTGCAGTATATCCAAGGTAATGGCGGGGAAGCGTTGGGGTTCGCCAGTGCGGGTGGACTGTAGCTCTATGCAGGCGTAGGCAGTGCCCTCTTGGACCTCTTGAGGATGACTATGTTCTCAACGTTTGTATCCAAAAGGTTGATAGGTTGACCCAGTAACAGCATGACCCTTGACCTCGCCCCTCCTTCACCTCTGCTGTCTCACGTCCGTATTATTAAACATCTTCCCCTGAAGAGGGTCGTCGTGTTTCAACCCGAGTTTTAAATTAAATGGGTCCTGAGGGACACAGCAGTACTATACTTAACGGGGTGGTGTGGCGGTAAAATTAACTATTTCCAATAAAATATAATTTAAGTACTGCGGTGTCCCTCAGGACTCATTTGATTTAAAACTCGGGTTGAAACACGACGACCCTCTTCAGGGGAAGATGTTTAATAATACGGGCGTGTCAGTCTCCTCATACGAGACAGGAGTGAAGGTCAGCCATGCCAGGGTTAAGTGATGTGTCCACCCTGAGCAGCTCTTGTTTAGTTTCATTAATTTGTAGAGTTGACTCCCCCTTCCTCCTACACGTGGCCAGGCTTGTCCACCGGACCCATTAACCAGACCCAGGAGGTTTAGGGCTTATTGCCACCTGAAGATAAAGCCCTCCAGCTTATTTCACCTGAAGATTAACTCCTATACGCGATATGGGCGGGGGGTTAGGGTAGCATTACCTGAGTATTAGGTTGTGGTGATCAACTGACGACTCCGCCCCGAGCGCACCCACCTGAAGAATTTCTCCCCTGGCGTGAGCTGGGGGATCCTGCAGTAGGATATGTGGATTCCTTATGAAATTCTGACCACTTATGGTTACCGTGTTCTCCCCCAGACGGCCAATATAAGATATCAATTGTTAATTCTGTTATCTTAAGATTGAGACTAAGCTGCGGTGAACCTTTATGTCTGTAACTCTGGGACTAATGTACTGTACAGTGACCGTCTGGGCCTTGGGTCAAGTAATATAAATAACCTGGCCTGAAGGCTCCTGACTAGAAGGTTCTCAGGGGTATTAATGGGATTATAATTTACATTTAGGAAATTTGTAGCCCATGGCCCAAACGTCCACCCTACATACAGCTCATGGCCCACAAACGTCCACCCTACATACAGCTCATGGCTCACAAACGTCCACCCTACATACAGCTCATGGCCCAAACGTCCACCCTACATACAGCTCATGGCCCAAACGTCCACCCTACATACAGCTCATGGCCCAAACGTCCACCCTACATACAGCTTATACTGTACCAGGAATACAATATTTTATTGTGTAATAGTTGTGTAGAATTTTTTTTTCATATCGGTTATTGTTGTGTAGAAATATCTTGTGCTTAAATATTACTGTACTAGGCTATGGAATATTAAAGGTTCATAAAATTTGTACTGTAGTCGGTTTACTGTTGTATTTATATAAGGTGGAGTACATTATTTTTCCATCAATATTTTGCATATCTATGTAAATTAATAAGCATGAAAGAACATACCCCCCTTCGATTTTACATGTTTAATAATAATAATAATAATAAAGTATTTATAAGTACATAAGAATGGAGGAAACTGCAGCGGGCCTATTGGCCCATACTGGGCAGTCCCGTTTACACCCAACCCCTATTGCTCATATGAGCATCCAACCTGTGTTTGAAGCAATTCAGCGTATTCGAGTTAATGATGATATTTGGTAACTTGTTCCATTCATCCACTACTCTGTTTCCAAACCAGTGTTTACCTATTTCACGCCTAAATCTAAATTTGTCTAATTTAAAACCATTGTTGCGAGTTCGCTCCTGGTTGGATAGTTTGAGTACCTTTGTAATGTCCCCTTTGTTTAGCCCTGCCTTCCACTTATACACCTCTATTACGGTCGCCCCTCGCTCTACGTCTCTCAAGGGAGTGCAAATTAAGATGCTTTAACCTGTCTCTATACTCAAGGTTCCTAATGCCCGGGATTAGTCTTGTCATTCTCCTCTGAATTCTTTCCAAGGATTCTATATCCATTCTGTAATACGGTGACCAGAACTGAACTGCGTAATCCAGGTGTGGTCTCACAAGAGCAAGATACAGTTTTAGGATGACCTCGCTAGTCTTGTAACTAACACTCCTTTGTATGAACCCAAGTACTTTATTAGCCTTGTTACGAGCAAAAACACATTGTTTACTTGGCTTAAGGTTCCTACTTATCATTACTCCTAAATCTCTCTCGCAGTCGGATTTCTCTATGGCATCGTTGTTCATCTGGTATCTGGTTTCCCTGTTTACATCTCCTATACTGAGTACTTTACATTTGTCGACGTTGAATTTCATCTGCCATTTTTCAGACCATTCGAAAAATTTGTTTAGATCTTCCTGTAGTTTTGCCGAGTCCTCGTCAGATTTAATAACACGTCCTATTTTAGTGTCATCAGCAAATTTACTTATGTTGCTGTCTATGCCGATATCTATGTCGTTTATGTATATAATAAATAATAATGGTCCAAGTACTGAGCCTTGGGGAACTCCACTTGTGACGTTGCTCCAATGGGACTTAGTGCCGTTAATGCTCACTCGCTGTTTCCTGTCCTATAACCACGCCCTAATCCATTTAAGGGATGTCACCTTGATGCCATGAGCTTCTACCTTTCTAATTAGTCTTTCGTGGGGGACTCTGTCGAAGGCTTTGCTAAAGTCGAGATATACCACATCATAATTGTGCCCCTCGTCCACCGATTCGAAAACTGATGAAAAGAATGTTAATAGATTAGTTAGGCAAGAACGTCCGCTTGTGAAGCCATGCTGGGAATCATTGATCAATCGGTGCTTCTCCAGGTGATTATAGTGTAGGATATGCATATATACATTTATTATATATTGTGAAGTATAATATTTATTACTGAAAGTGGTATTGCCGCGTAAGCAGTGCAGGAGCGAACTGTAAGAAGGCAGGAAGTGAGTCAGAACGTTGTTTTGATCCATTACTGACTGCACTTCAGGAACTAAAGTTTTTCAGTGCGTATTTTAGATTAATATATACAGTATATTAGCCGTCAACAATTATCAATTAATACATACTTTTAATGTTGTAATCCATTCTTAAACATCTAACCAGAATTGTGAAACGTTAAAGTTGCCTTATTTTCAAGTGGCAATATTTTATATATGTTTTAAAGAAAGCCAAAGGGCTGTTTGTGACATGATTACATGCTCCAAGTACTTAAATGTTAAAGCATTGTGCAATATTCTTTAAAATTCTTTGTATGTGCTGCTTCTGTTTACTTGGTGTCTAAGTGAAGAAGACTCACTCATCACTTGACCTAATTCATTACAGATCACAGCTGGAGGCGGTGATGCAGATAGTGAAGTGCGAGATTATCTCCACCACCTCCACTGAAGAAATTGATGCTTATCTGCTCAGGTATGTGTTGAGTCATCTGTTGTTGTGTGTGTGTGTGTGTGTGTGTGGGTGTGTGGGTGGGGTGTGTTGGGGTGTTGTGCTTCACCCGTTGCAGTGTGAGAAGACGACTATGCCTGTACCCGTGTGTCTGGCAACCTCCCTTCTTCCGTCTCCCTCTCCCCTCCCTTCTGTCTTCCCACGTGCAGCCAAGATGATGTCACTCATTACTCGGGGCTCCAGCTGATGACAATTATCATATCACATAGTCCAGTATTTAGAACTTTGATAGTGTGGGTTTTGGTGTAATTATAAGCGTGTACTGGTTGAGGCATTGCCGATAATACACTTGATATAGTACTGGTAACTACACTTGAGACGTTATTGGTAAAACGAGTTGCAGGAGTATTATCGCACCTAATCTGTACTAGTGCGCTTTTGATTATTTTTTAGTGTTACGGAACTAAACTTTGAACTCCCTACACTCGGGGTTCCTAAGTTATTTGTTTTCACTTCCAGTGCCGTCCTAAATCGTTAAGAAGCACTTGAGTAGCTTACAGATAACGTAGGATAAGTCTTCTGGGACCCGTTTACTATGTACAGACTCAACACCATTCACTTTACGAGAGCATATAATTTACCTGTCTGGAGAGGACCACTCCACTGCAGTGTCAGTTATCGACGTATAAAATATCATTGTCGCCATGGGAACAATACCCAAAATGACTCGGCAAGACCTTGGTAATGAAAAGACGCTGTCGCCATCATTACCTGAGGTGGTGTCAGGAGGCAGGCGTCTTGGTCAGTTAGGGACACTGACGGGTGGCGGGACGGGGCACGGGACCCGGCACCACTGTTATCTTGTAAACAGAAAGGTTTCTAAGGACGTCTGTTAGTTATCGCAGTTTTTACCACACCTGGAGGACCCACCACCACCCCCCCTGGAGGAGGACCCACCACCACCACCCCTGGAGGACTCACCCACCTTCACCCCTGGACAGGACCCACCACCTCCCACTGGAGGAGGACCCACCACCTCCACCCCTGAGGAGGACCCACTCACCACCACTCCTGGAGGAGGTTCCACCACCACCACCCCCCCTGGAGGAGGACCCACCACCACCACCCCTGGAGGAGGACTCACCACCTCCACCCCTGGAGGAGGACCCACCACCTCCACCCCTGGAGGAGGACCCACCACCTCCACCCCTGGAGGAGGACCCACCACCACCACCCCTGGAGGAGGACCCACCACCACCACCCCTGGAGGAGGACCCACCACCACCACCCCTGGAGGAGAACCCACCACCACCATCCCTGGAGGAGGACCCACCATCACCATCCCTGGAGGAGGACCCACCATCACCATCCCTGGAGGAGGACCCACCATCACCACCCCTAGAGGAGGACCCACCATCACCACCCCTGGAGGAGGACTCGCCAACTTTGATGACTCGATATCTTATAGGGACGTAAACGTGTGTGTGTGTGTGTGTGTGTGTGTAGCTGAGGGAGTGAGGGAGGATGGGGTCACGTCCTCTGACCCAGGTGTATGTAGAGGAATTGTCGTGTGCTCCTGGTATGAGGGAATTAGTTTGTTAAACTTTAAATAACTTCACAGGTGATTATGAGAGAATGTGCCAGTATTTCATTAGCTTGTGGGTGTGGTATGTTGGCTGAGGAGGTGTGTGTGTGTGCGCGTGCGTGTGTGTGTGTGTGTTGGAGCGCTAAATCTTCACAGAAACATATGGTTGGTAACTCGATGTTGAGGATGAAGTGAAAGGCAGGTAGATGGTCGCCTTCCTCTCCCAGCGTTATTTATATATCTATCTCTTCCCCCCTACCTCCCTCTTCCTCCTTGTTCTCTCCTACTCCACCAGTTCATCCTAATGGGAGAGAGGGATGCCTTAAAAGAGGTTATGTGGGGGGGGGGGCCTTGAACACCCGAGACTATAGGAGGGAGGCGGTGAGGATGGGGACCTACGCAGGTTAAGGAGGGAGGGATGGGGGAAGGAAGGGAGGTAGGAAAGGAAGGTCAGAGTAGTGGTTGCTAACAGGTAGATCGCCATAAAGTCTTGTCTCTACCCTGGGGATCTGTCAGTTTTGTAAAGCCCATCTGTCCTCCTTCCCTTCCCTGTCGCCCTCGATATGCTGGCAAATTTTCTTCCTCATATTAATGACTATGTGATTAATGATGTCTGTAGTACTAGTGAGGGAATGCAGTCCAAATCCAATATCAATGCCATTTTTGTTTTGAAGTTTCAGTAAGCCAAAGTGATCAGAGTATGGTCTGTCATTCCTAGCTAAATAATATGCAGAACGAAAAATTGAACAAGTTGCCTTTAGATGCGAAGTGTTCATGGGTCACATAATTTTCCAAGAGCATCATCACTAGCTTTATTTTCAACACGAGCAGGAATGTGAGCTTTTGATAGTTTGTGTCCAGCAATGGCTTTTCTGAGAGACTTCAAGTGTGTACTTCGATCGGCTCCATAATAGGATACTTGGCACATTTGCCGTTCATTTGACAGCCTCGAACCCTTAGAAGTGAAGAGTGTCAGTTGCTTATGTTTGCACATACTTTACACCCAAGTTTATCATCCTTGAAGTCTAACCAGGGATAAATTTTCTTCTTTTTCTTCCACATTTCTTCAATCTAAACCCCTGCACAGGGATACAAGCCTGACTTGTATGAAAAAAAAGAACGTCTAATGAACTATTGCTAAAGCCACGAATATTGCTGAATATTAGCATCAAAAGCGGTTGGTTGGCAACTCTGCCTCGTTCCGTTTCTCTAGCAGAAGCGTTTGGACAGGAAATGTACCTGTGAGTGTCGATACTCACACGTCGGGTATTTAGTTTTTAATTATGTATGAAGTTAAAGAAGCTTGAATCTCTACATGAATTATTATTGTATCTATACGAATAATAAAAAAATATCGTATTTTGGAAGTGACAAATGTTATTTCCTCTTTAGCAATAATCAAACAGAGGTGCCGGAGCGGCTCTCCGGTGAGCTCCGGCAGCACTGCACCCCTGGTCACAATGGATAAACAGCCTTCTCACGTGTGTCGGGGCCAAGAAAGACTTGATCCCTTGACATGTATTAATAATAATAATTATAATAATAATAATAAACGGTTTATTGAAAGTTTGCAGCCCGAAGGCTGAAAATATACATTGGACACAAATGACTTATTACATACATTGGTGATTTAACAAAAGCCTTCATTAGAGAAAGGTGAAGGAACATACAGTGAACATACAGATTAATGTTTACACTTAGATCATGTAAGCTGAGGTGTTGAACAGCAGACACGTAGTGTAGTAACTCCCTCACAGATGGCGTTATGAGGGGCATCACGTGGAGTACTAGTTCCCTCACAGGTGGTATTATGAGGGGCATCACGTGGAGTACTAGTTCCCTCACAGGTGGTGTTATGAGGGGCATCACGTGGAGTACTAGTTCCCTCACAGGTGGTGTTATGAGGGGCATCACGTGGAGTACTAGTTCCCTCACAGGTGGTGTTATGAGGGGCATCACGTGGAGTACTAGTTCCCTCACAGATGGTGTTACGAGGGGCATCACGTGGAGTACTAGTTCCCTCACAGATGATGTATGAGGGGCCTGATGATGTAGTAATTCCCTAACAGATGGTGTTATGAGGGGCATCACGTGGAGTACTAGTTCCCTCACAGATGGTGTTATGAGGGGCATCACGTGGAGTACTAGTTCCCTCACAGATGGTGTTACGAGGGGCATCACGTGGTGTAGTAGTTACCTCCGTACCACCAACACATTTTATTGGCCTAAGTTAGTTAACTGACTTGATATTAGCATTAAATTTCAGTATATATATATATATCTTGATAAAATCACACGGGAAAATGGAAACAACGGAGTACCTTAGCTTTCGTCTTTATTCAAGACATCTTCAGAGGCAACTGGATTACATGGACGAAGGCTTAAATATGCAGGGTGACCTAAAACATGAGGTCAGGTCACCAATGATGACATCCACCTAATCCCACACCAACACACGTAAGGGAGCTTAAGAGAGAAAATTGGTGACGTGACTGAATCCAGGTCGAGTGTAAAAATAAGGAACCACAAAACAACTTCATATACATAGATCAAAAGGTTTCAAAAGCATTTTTAACCTTGGGCCGCATGACAAATAAATTTATGTAACATAATATCAGTTTTGAACTGACCATCACTAAAGTTTTATTGATTTTAATTCCTTAATCAAACTAGCTAATAGAATCTTTCTGTGACACAAGATGATTTAAATACTTCTATGCTTTTTTCCCCAAGCAATGGGATGATTATTATTCCTAACATGAACGAACAAGGCACTGCTTTCAGATGCTGTTCTGATATTATACTTATGTTGTTTGATTCTGAGCTGCAGTGTTTTTCCTGTCTGACCTACATAATTACAATTACATTTGCTACATGGAATACAATAAACACTTCCATTTACATTCAAACTTGGGCTATTCCTTATTAACATATTGGTAATGGTTGAGTCATACTTGAAAACAAGCATTAATATTTGAAGCGGGGACCGAACTAAATATTAATGTTGTTTTCAAGTATGACTCAACCATTACCAATATGTTAATAAGGAATAGCCCAAGTTTGAATGTAAATGGAAGTGTTTATTGTATTCCATGTAGCAAATGTAATTGTAATTATGTAGGTCAGACAGGAAAAACACTGCAGCTCAGAATCAAACAACATAAGTATAATATCAGAACTGCATCTGAAAGCAGTGCCTTGTTCGTTCATGTTAGGAATAATAATCACCCCATTGCTTAGAAGTATTCAAATCATCTTGTGTCACAGAAAGACTTCTGGTTGAAGCTAGTTTGATTAAGGAATTAAAATCAATAAACCTTAGTGATGGTCAGTTCAAAACTGATAATATGTTACATAAATTTATTTGTCAGTGGCCCAAGGTTAAAAATGCTTTGAAAACCTTTGATCTAGATGTATAATAGTTATTTTGTGGGTCCCT